CACATGGAGTACGTACTCGTTAAATCAGTGGGTCCGAAAGTCTTGTGGGCTGAATCACGAGTGCAGGTGAATGGAGAATATTTCCCTCCCCTTCAGTTCCATGCCTAAATTGTGGAGGGGGAAATCGGTGGTGTTGTTATATATCGTCCCTTCAGGGATTTTTGCCGATCTAATTCCTACTGTTACCTGGATGGTGCTCAAGGTCAACGACAGGTGTACTTCTAGTCCCTTGCCACGTTGAATTTCGTGGACCTCGATCTGACTACGTCAGACAGGTGGCATTAGAAGCAGCAACAATGCAAGAGGAAATTACACGAAAGTAAATTCGTGCCATGATGAGTGAGTGAGTGAGTGAAGATTAACGTCGCACTGTTCAGCTACACGAGGGCTTTTGGCGACGGACCACGTAATTTTGAATCATGGTCAAGTGACGTGGACGACACCTGAGCTGGCACCCTCCTCTCCTAACTACCACACCAACGGGAGGACGTTTTAGCTCTCGACAGATTTAGCGTGCATCGCTGCCCTACACGGAGGGTCTTTAGTGGTACTGGGCTCGAACTCGTGACAAAGCCAGCCACGATCCGATGCCTATACCACTCGGCTACCACGGCCACAAAGTCGTGCCATAAAAGAATGCGTTCAGATCGGAACAACATGTGGTAGTACGGTTTCTTATTTTGGGAGGTGAGTTTAATGCGGACATCTCTCGATAGATGGGGGCAGTCTATCCCGAGCACTGCTTAGGTCGAACGTCTTTGAACAAGTTGGTGTAAAAGTTTCCGAGAATGATAGCAAATGATATTGGATATTCATGACAAAATCCGCCCTATGTCTCCCATGAACCAAGGCAACTTTAAAAAAATGTGTTGGGAAGTGTTAGAACACACACCATACGGTCTAGATTTGTCCCCCCCAGACTCTTAAGCCACGACAGTATTACGTTTCTATTTGGACGATGAAGTAAAGGAAGCTGGGGCAGGACTTCTTCAAGAACCAACCACGATCTTTCTAGAGTGAAGACATACATCTGCTGCCGAAACGATGGAACCTGTGTTACAATACCCAGAGCGATTTCTTTTTATTTCAAATAAAATCATTATTTTTATTGAACTTGTCCACTTTTCCTTTGGGCAATTCTAATATATTTAAGATGCGGTAATCTGGTTGGTAGAATATTTACTATGGGCATGGATTGGACCTTGATTCTACTAGATGGAATAGAGAGGACTGTTATATGCTAAATCTAATTGGTTCTTAAAATCCACATATATAGGGTGGATGCTTGGGGAGTAAGATATCGAGATATGTATTTTCCTTACGATCTGATGAGAGAAGCCTCGAAATTCAAAAAATTCTTCCAAGGCAACCAAAGGCATTTTTAATCCTTTACAGTTTTAGAGTGAGGATAAATTGATGTGTCGTTATTTTCCACCCTCCGGCATTCATAGAGGGGGAATTTTGGTAATTTTTTAAAAACAAATCATAAAAATGTAATTAAAATAAAGATTCTCGTATGTATGACCATGAATTTATTCATAGTTCGAAAAATTGTTGTTATTTGGAGCTTCTTTCAAGCTGTATTAAATCAGTAAAGATATATTTATGGCTGAGGGTTAATCCCATGAAAAAGATCTTTGGACACCAAAGAGATACCTTAAAGAATCAAAGAAACAAATTAAATAATTGGTCCTTAAAGAATTGCTTGTAGGAATGAAGGCTGATACACACAAGCAATAAATTCAGAAACCATCCAGATTATTCATTAGCCATCGGTTCCTCTATCCCGGTAACAAATACTGTTAAACTGCCTCTTCAGATTATTTAGGCAAATTATGTTTGAAAAATATTAAGCATGGAGCAAAATTAGTTTGATATCTAATCCTCGTATTTTGTAAATGGTTTCATAAGGTTTTTATTAAAAATGTATGGCCAAATACAACGAAAAGACAAACAAGCACTCTTTGATATTGAGAAAAGCTAAGCGCGCCATGAAGTAACCTTCATTTTTTCTTCGGAAAAGTTGTACCAGAAAGAAAAATATTATTGATTGTAATAGTTTTAAATCGTGTCTAAAATTTCTGGAATTGATCGGAATAACTTCAATTAAGACAGGAGGTTTTGCATAAATATGTATTAGAAAGACAGATAATTAATATAAAAACTGAACTGTATATAAAATCCATTTGAGCGCTGAAGGAAAATTAGCTTCCTTTATTTAAAATTACAATTGTAAGAAACTTTATTGCATATACGAATATTAATTTTTCTTTTCATTTCATCATTTGTGGAGCTTTGCTATAATATTTACTTTACGAGCAGTCCACTAGACTGAATATAATGACCTATGTATATTTCTTCTCCATAATTTTCATACCATGCATTTTTTTCAACTTTCTATAGAGTTTATGTTGACACTCTTTCCAGATACCAAGAAAAATTACAAAATAATAATGTCTCACAACAAAACCAATATTTTTACAATTTTAATTCAACATAAATCTTTTTCGTTTCACCTCTGCAGCTGTAAAATAAAAAACAATATTTAAAAAAATCCTTGTCTCAAGTTCACTTAGTCTTTATTTTTATAAAAATAATTTGCTTTATTCAACCTAAAATATTACTTGCATATATTTTTTTTTAAAAAGACATAGTTTAACATTTAAAGAAAAATTCCCAAGAGCGTAAAAAACAAGAAAATTTAAAAAACAGAAATTTATGGAATTATTTGGTATTTAAATTTTCAGTAGAGCCGTTTTAGGTCAATCCATACAATTTTCCATCCGCTATGTTCTTAGACCCTCTGATGAAAAAAGATAACTATTTTGGTTAACTTTATAAATGATATTATATATATATATATATATATATATATATAAAACCACAGTGATTCATTTTAAAAACCGTATATATATATATAATATATAATGTCGTTACATATAAAAAATATTCACAAAAACGCTCTTGCCTTACGATCTCACATTAATTTAAAAACAGCTTGAATAAGAAAAAATATTTTAAATCATTAAGCAGAAAAATTTCATTAATTACTGGTGTTCTAAATATCGAAGTTTTGTCTAATTATATCAGAAATGCTTTAAAAAAGCTTACTAGGAACTGAAGAGGAAAATGAACTCCAAATGTTCGAAATGAATTGGCTTGATTTGCAAAAACATACAATTGGGCGTATTTCTCACCAAAAAGTATTTATTTTCTCCTTTCAATTAAAATCTCGAAAACAACCAATTTGTTTTCAGAAAAACACCATTAAAAGTTAAAACAAGAGGGATTTCTTACAAATAGTAGAAATTTCCTATTTATGTTTTGTTTTCGTTGATGTTTTTCTGTACGTAAAAAATATTCATCAGAACAAAAACAAATTACAAAAAAAAAAAAAAAAAAATAACAGATTTAATCAGAAAACAGAAGGAGCAAACAATAGAAAGATAGCCCAAAAGCTACACTGATTAAAATAAACAATGTCTTTTTGTGTACTTTTGCAAAACCGAGGGCAGTTTTTAATGATTTCGGCAAAATTATACTAATGATTACATTGTACGTGACTATAAAGCATAACATTTACTTTTCCAAAAATATTCTCTGACTGCCTTCAGAAAACCTTTGTCGCTCATCATTAAAATATCATTTTTGTTTCCTTTATTCCATCTCATAGAAGAAACATTTTCAATGTAACTTTATATATTCAGAAAAATATAAAAAAAATAAATATTTTTCGATGTAATATTTTCCCAAGTCAAAGTTCAAAAAGGCGAAATAATTACATCGAAAACATTTTCCTTTATTTTTCTTACTTAAATAAAATTAATTATTTATCTTTATAAATTCAATGAAAATAATCACATATTTAAATACATACTTCAACCACAATCTAAATACAAATTTGATACTTCACAGGAAAAAAATCGTCTTTCCACTTCAGTTTTTGATGCTTATATATGAATTTCCCCAAAAACACTATTTTACGCCTGAGAAGTAGGCAATACGTAAAATTCACTGTGCCTAAAAGAATAAGCTAGTTTCAATAGGATATCATAAAAATTCAGAAGAACTACTCAAGAGACAAGTATTTTATATTTTATGCTTCGTCTGCCGCCCTGTTCCTCGAACGATCAGTAAAATAGGGGAAAAGTTTATACTGTCAAAAGAAATGTTTTTTATTCGGAAATATAATAAATCCTTTATTTTTTATAGTAATTTAAATAAAGAATTTTTTTTCCTTCCGTTTCCAATTTCAATAAAGGAAAATCTTAACAAAGTATTTGAAGAAATGGAGTTGTTTAAAGGGGGAAAAAAAGATTTCAGCTTGTTTATACATCAGCATTTAGCCCCAGGTATTTTTGTCATGTTTTGCAAGTTTTGAACAACTCTGACAGTTACAAAACCTATTATATTCAATTCTAATCAACATAAAGGAATCTAGTTTATTGTGGAAAATTTCCTAAGTAAAATGACATGATTTAATTATTTCAGTTTTTCACTTTTGGAATAATAGATACATCCATATTTATATTTGCTTTTGTTGTTTAATGTAAATATTTTTTTCCAGTAAACCTTTTAAAATTTACCCTGGTTCCACAATTTTAACATTATATAAAATTATGTCTATTGTTAGTTTATGAGATAAATGTGAGATTTCTCAATTAAAATAGATATCAAATGTATTTTAAACAAGTAATATAAAAAAAAACAAATTAAGTCAATTCGTACTTAGAAATTTTTTATTTCGGTTACTTTATATTAAATGGTTATAATTAATATAAATATGTATATATATATATATATATATATATGACAGAATCACAATCACAATGTTAAGTGACAAAATAGAAAGCGATTTTCCTTGCAATTTTCCATTTTCCTTTCTATACATGGTGTTGGATTATTTTATTCATGTTTACTATTTATTCAAAAATTAAATTTAATTATTCTAACAAAATAGTTAAGTAAAAAAAGTAATCACACATTCTCAGAAATTAGGCCATCCCAGGTGGGATTCGAACCCTCAACCTTTGGAATAGAAGTCCAACACGCTCTTTATTGCTCCACAGGGACACAACGAATGATTTCCCTTTTTATATATGCTGTTAGACTATTATTTTTGTTTGTAACTATTTATTCATTTTTTAATTTAATTAAATTAATATTTGAAAAAACTGTATTAACATCAAGTGTCATCCACTACAAATTTAAAAAAAATATATTTGAACTTAAATGGATGAATAAAAAGTATTTTATTAACGATTGAAAATTTGAACAGGATATTATATATATATATATATATATATATATATATATATATATATATATATATATGGAAATAAATAAATATATAGGAGAGAGGTAGGGATTAAAAAATTAGATAGGGTGGTTACTCTTGTGTTATTAATTTCGGAAACGTTTTAACACTTTTTTGCTAAAATAATTTATTTATGATTGAATACATTTGAACGTCCTTTTCATAAAATATTTCTTTGACTTAAAAAGAATAAGGTTGCTTAAACTAAAAGGTAATAAATATCATAAAGTAAAAATAATAATAATAATATGATTAGAAATAAAATAAAAGTTTCGCAATCGTAACAATTTCCATTTAAAATATTTTCGCACGATTCGGACCCAATTTGTGCTGGACTAACCCCCCTCCCCCGTGCTTTTGGCTGTCTTTATTTTTTCCCCCTGATGGAGAAATTTCTTCCACTATAGCCAAAACGCGAGAGGGAAAAATTGAGCAAGATAAAAACAAAAATAACACAAAAAGTCGCCTTTTCTACCATTCCAGAACTCGTCCGCTATTCGGGGAAATGTAATCAGACGGAGACCTAGGGGTGGGATGCTAGGGCATGTTTATATTTCTTTCGTAGCCCCCTTGGTTAATACCGGGCACAACTTCATGCATTTTTCATTTATTCATTTTAGACTTAATACAATATTCATGTTTTTTTACGTACATCGACATAAGTTGGAAGATTATTCGCTGCGGAGGTAAACTTTCGCATTAAATAAGAAAAGAAAAGAAGTTTGGAGAGGAAAATTTGAAATGATACCTAGGGGGAGTCCATCCATTTTTTGCCTCCTCGACCTCGTGTAGGGGCTCAAAAGGCAATGGCCCTTGGAAGAAGTCAAGTGTTGCAATACCTCGAAATCGGCAAAATTAGCCTCCAAGTTGCGGATTTCTTTCATAATTTTTGTTTTCTTTGGATTTGTGGGGAATTAGGCAGATGAGCAAAGGGTGTGTATTCACATAAAAATGGAGGAATTAATTAGATTTTTTTTTAGAATGGCCCAATATGTCTTTAATCTTAATTAATTTTGAATTTTTGCAGTTGTGATTCATGAAAAGTTAATCGTTATCGTTTTTTAAGCATGTAAAAAAGAAAACTGTTCTATGATTTTTTGCTTTCTTTTTGATAAGGTTTTCGCCCCGATAACACAAATAAATTGAAAGTTCAAAACTATTTTTTTTTATTGATTCATTGAAACAAATTGATTTTTTTTAATTAATTAAGGAAATATATATATATATATTCCAAACTACACTGCATATTTACTAGAAAACTTCTAATTTTTTTGAGCCATTTTACTATATTATTTGCTTTTGCTGTTCTCTATCTATAGTGATAACACAAAATTTTAATTTCTTCAAATCTAAAGAATACCATCGGAGGAAAGCATATGTACATTCTCACTGTAAATGTATACTATATTAATTCTAATCTAAGCCGCCAATGAATTCTAAGTCACCCGCCAAATTCACAACGCGTTTTGGGGAAAAATAAAAAAAAAAATTGTGTAATATGGTTTATCGCTATCTATATTTACGAAATCAAAAAAATTAAATGAGATCCAATACGGATGGATTAATTAGTTTATTTTAACGCTATTAAAAAACGTTATAATCATACATGAACCTGTAATTGCTCTAATCACCAGAGCATCATATTCAATTTCCCTCATCCAAGGAATTTTTTAGTCTTTGATTCTAAGCCACATCCAATTTTCAATAGCATTAACATTGGAAAAAAGTGCGGCTTCGATTCAAATAAATACGGTATAATATTTCCAAGAACATTAGAACAGGTAGATTACTGGTGAAAGTAACCAAACTTTAAATACTGTTTATGCCACGTGTATTCAAGTGAAACTAATGAAAAATAATGTGATTTCATATATATAGCTGCTAATAAGTGCAATATCTAAATTTCTTTGGAATATATCTCTAAAATATAAGACATAAAGATAAAAACGCTTTTTAAGCTTTCACTCGCTCAAATGAACACATGAAAGGAACTCAAGAGTGTTTATCAATAAACTTCCTCAAGAAATTTTTCCTTTCATTAATTTCTCTGAAAGTTTGTTTCAACTAATTCAACGTGAAGCTTAATAAGGGATCCTTGGAATATTTGGATACTTCCCAAGGGATCGAATTGGGTATTTACTCCAACCCACTAATTAAGAACATTCGTTGTATTTTGAAAGTATAAAACTGTAGTCTTTTTATTTCAAACTTAAAACATGTGGATTTTGAACCGTAAAAATTCCACTGTTGATTTGGAATTTTTTTCTTAGTTATACATTGGCATTACACCTCATTTCACAATTGAACGTTGTTTTCTTCAGAGAATTATATAAATTATGATTAATTTATTTCCTTGAATAAGAATACCCTTTAATAGTTTTTTCGATACTTATTAATAAGTACTTCATTTTAAAGCAGATGTGATGTGATATGGAAAATATGGTTTTATCTATCAATAATTTCCGCTTATTTTTAATTTTTCTCAGATTCCGAATTCTTAGAGTATTTAATCTCAGGATTTGAATTCTCAGAATATTACACTTAGAAACTGATTACTGTCATTTGAATTTGTATGTTAAGTAACAATTTCAAAACTTAACAACATTTGAATAATAACAGTAATCGAGATTCCTAATTCTGAAATTTTACAAGTCCGAAAGAGTAAAAAATATATATAAATAAATCACACAAAATTTACTCATTATACAGCATTTAAGTAATAGATAGATCGCCCGTTTGTTGAAAAAAAATAGGTATTTATTACCTAAATAAATGAAAAAGAAGAAAAAATCTAATTCATTCAAGCCAATAGGAAAAGAATTTGTTTCCTTTATATTTTGATTGATAAAATAAAAAAAAAATCCCTTTCATCAACGTTAATACTATCACATTTAAACTAATTTTACCGAAATATTAAACGTTCAGGTATGCTCAACTTGTTTCACATGTGGCTACAAATTACACCGGTCTTGCTTGTGCATTGATCTACGAAGTTAACAAATGAGTTGGAAATGTTTCGATGGAGTCATATAATTATGAAACGTTTTTAACAGAAACAGAAGACTAAAAAATGAGTTCTGTTTTTATACTAAAATAGTTATCTGCAAAATAAAAGAAAAGGCACGTATTGATAGCTAAACTTCTCTTCTATAAAGCTAACAGCACAAACAGAATAAGACACGAATCCCGCCCACTGTCGTATCAATTCAGTTGAAATCAATGGCGGTAATATTTTTATGTCAAAATTTCAAGCCAAAGCCTATAATTATTTCTAGGCGGTGGAGCCGGTAGCTTTGGTTGAAAACAAAAGTGTTGCAGAACACCAGCGTGCTATGAGGGTTTTCAGGACGTTACGGAATCGGTAATACATCTCAACCTTCGGCTTATTATGCTAATACGAAAGCTGAGTCCGTAATGCAAAAATGTTAACACTGCCAATTTGTATCTTTGACTGAAGAAGAAATTAGTGATGTGTAGCAAACCACAGACTGGTTTGTTTCTAGTTTTAAACAAAACTGTTATTGTATATGTAGCGACTGAGAGAAGCAAAATTAGGGGAATTTTTTTTAAAGTATTGGTTTTTGTTAGTTCTAATAGGGATTTTCTATTTATTTGGCCTGGAAATTCCATGCAATTTATATTCTTTTTTAAAATAGACCAAAATCAAAACAAAGCGAATAAAAAAGTGTTGAAACTGCGTAGCGCACTCGGTGTGGATAAATACTCTTAATATCAATAATATTTGATAAGTTCTCAAAAACAGATACAAAATAATATGATAGAAAAAACAATAACGTGATTAATAGGTGTGAATGAAACTGTTAAATTTTCTGTTACTATACTTATGAATATCGTATAAGACCACACCTACTTTTCATCACTATTTTTAAATATTCCTGTCTAGGCTTATTCATTTGACTTAACTTGTTTTATTTTTTCCCTGGATTTCATTAGTATGGTTGAAGAAACTGCCACTGTAACAAAATAATCGTTTTTTATACATAGAAAAGAATTAACCTAAACGGGTTTTTCTTGAATATGAATGAAGTTTATGTAAAACTGTCTCCATTGCGATACATTTTTATGCATCTAATGTATCGTTTAATTCTCAAAACTTTTCTATTTTGAAAAAAAAGTTATTTCTAACTTAAATTTTTATTTGAATCTCCTCTTGAACTAAAAAAATCTTTTGTTGTTTGTGTGTGTGTGTGAGAGAGAGAGAGTCATATTTTTTATATAAAAATTCATTATTAGAGTTACAAAATGCTTATGTATTTTTATTAAATACTCAACCTTCTAAAATTTAGTGAGTTTTATTCTTTTATTTGTTAAATTAAATTTAATGGAGTAAAACATCCACAAAAATTTATTTCTATATAGATTTTAAAACTTTTTTTTTAATTTCTGTATTTGGTTTGTTTTTTGATTAATATAACAGTTTGAAAAATATGCTTTTAATCTCAATTGTAGGCAATATAAAATTAATATTTTCAGCTGCAGAACAGGAAGAGTATTTTTAAAATTTGAAAAAATATTAATCACACAAAAATGTAGGTGACACTTCTATAAGCACTATCTATATAGGCTGAGAATTTTTTGATGTATCTGTATCTTCACATTGCGCTAACTGCAGATAGTGCAGCAAATTTTTGCATCAAAGTACTATGTTTTGAAGACTAAGAGAAATCATTTAAATTTTATTATTAAATTATTTTTTATATTAAATAGGAGGAAAATACTTTTGTTTGTATCCATT